AGGAAGAAGAAATTTCTGGATGATTTAAATATTACAGAAATTGGACCAAACAGATATTAGAAACTTAAACTGCATCATGGCTCCTCCTCTTCCTTGCTGCTTATGCTCTGCTTCTACGACGTGAAACATGGACTTCTCAGCAACTATGGCATTTCATCATAACTTATCACCAACTATTAATAAGGAAAATGCTCATATGGATGTAGTCAATAGATGGATGGATACATGGATAGAGACAGATACAAGGATACAGAGTTCAATGACATTACCCGGTAAACATGTCCTGAAGTCAAGGTCATCCACGGAAGTTAAAATCAAAATGTAGTTCCTATTAGTAGACATGTGCAACATTAAAGATATTCAGAATGGATAAGTAAATAAATGAAACAAAATGCAACCTGTTTTTTCAATGACGTTCCCAGCCCGCAGCTGCATAATAGTGAGACTAATAAGAAACTGAGATATTTTAATTCTACACAACAAAAGGAAAATAGTTTTCGATTAGCTTTAAATCAATGGATAGAACAGTTACAAGTTCCTCTCATTCTCAGGCTAACTGCTTCATACTTAAAATGTGTCAAACTTTTTTACAAATAGAATCAATTAGCTAAAGCCCACTACGGTTTATTCACGAGAAAATCCAACTCAGTAACTCTAAGATTAGCTTAATATGAATCAATGTTGAATGACAGAATTAAAGCAAAACGAATATATTAACAAGCAAATCCACACTTTCTAATACATTCTTCCCGGCATTGTAAAGACTCGTTACATAACACAGGTTTCTCCCATTCCGTCTAACAACACAATTTATATAACTAGCCATAAAAATCAACTCATAAGAATCATTTCTAAATTCTAAACACAAATGAGTTCAACTTCCCATAAAAGAATTGGCTATGTCTAGTTGCAAAAGTAATTACAAAACATTGCTTCTTAGATCAAAACCAAGTTAAATTAAACAATTTCCCACCGATCATCAGCATTCGGATCATCAATTACAAAACTAATTAGCCAGTGAATAACCAATGCATAAATATCAACTAATTTGTGGTAATTTACATGGATAGCGTTAACTTTGACGCCGCGGAGTTGACTGGCGGACCACGGGCAGTCACAGAGGCGCGTGTCACCGGGAGCTGTGGAGGTGCTTCGACAAGCCGAGAAGGAGTGTAACAAATGGGATAAAGGAGAAGGTGACAGCGTTGTTAGGGTTCTAAGAGCAGTTGAATGGAGGAATAACAAAGCCCGAGAGATTCTCATACTCGGTTGCGATTTTCTTAATGGATTTTGCAGCAGGATGCTCCGACTCTCGAAATTCCAGAAATCACAGGCCGAGGAAATCAAAGGTTTGATTCTCGTTAAATTTAATTTATAATTAAATAATAATAATAATAACTACAAATTAATTTTATGTAAATTATAAATTATTATAAATTTTGTAAATAAATTTATAATAATTTGTTCCAAACAATTAAAATACATTCATTATTTTATAATTTATAATTTATAATGTGATTTAATTGTAGGATTTTACAAATTATTAATAATGGACATTATATAATATTTTACTTATTCTTTTAAAATATAATAAAATTTTTAATCAATTAAAATTTAATTTTATGTTGGAGTTTCTCTTTTAAAAAAAAAAATTTATAATTCAAGCAATTTGGCTAAGACACCGAGTTTGCTTTCCTTATACTAAATTTGAACTATCTTTAATAACATATTATTTTATTTAAAAAATTATAATTATATCTTTACTCTGTGTTTGGATAATGATCAATGATAGAATTTTAATGTATAGTATTTTACGGGTGTGAGAAAACCGTATTTGTTTCAACTTCTAATAGTAACAAATAGTATTTGACTGATAAATTTTGTGATGAATTTTTAAATCACCAAATTGGTGGTATTTAATGGGCATTCTATTTGTTCCTAATTATATAATGTCCTGTTTTTTTTTTTTGTATTTCTAATGGCGTAGTTTACAACAAATCTATGATCAAACACAGAAATTTCGTTTCAAGTCAGGTATGCACATAGAAACACCATCACAATCTATTGTTCAGAGTTAAGATAGATCAGCAATCACACATATAATATCACGTGAAATACAGCCGTATACACTATCAACAGACATACTATTAACTCTACTACCAACTTTTATACACTCAATCTGTCTATAAAGATTCTTATTCTGTTGCTCTATACGCTAGGTTCGAAAATCAGCAACTCCGATCCCGACTCCATTCCTACATCGTCTGTGAACAATAGAGGGTAAGTTCATATAACTCAGTACAGTAAAAATTAAGTTACAATTATGATATGCATCAAATATGAAATTCAATATTTCTATATGTACTCCATCACCCA